ACCTGACATTATCAGAAAGTTAAAACGCGTGTAGAGTTGTACATTTGTACCTCTTCTTTACTTTTATCCCCGGAAACCTTCCACAGAACTTTCTTTTTAGCATTACAGTGGGAAAACCCTCCTGAGATTTAAACCTACAACAACACCTCTGCCGACTAAAGCAGACTGACTGATGTTGAACTTGAGAAGTCTGTCCCTGAGTACATTACGGGCTTTGATCAGGCATACAGGATGCTGTAAGTACCATTTGTACAAGCAGTGGAGCTCAAATTTGACTTTGATATTGTGTACTTGTCAGCGGTAATTAATGACAAGCACTCATAGCTCTTGATTAATCACGACTCGTTTAAATGAACAGGATATGGGTCCTGCTCAGCCAGTTACTCCCATTTACCTTGGCTTGTTGCTCTCATTTTACACACTTAATTACCACAACTGCTCCCTTATAGCCTCTTATGGGCCCAGTGTAGAAAATTAGTCACTTGCTGGGCCTTTATTGTGATTATTTATACCAGTGTTTCCTAACCTTTTTTTAGTCGCGGCACCCTTTGGAAATTTTAACAAACTTGTGGCACCCTACAAAATAAATTGTCACAATATTTGAATTTCTAACTTCGATGTAATAATTTGAAAAGTATAGATATTGGGTACAACAGGGAAGAACTGCAGGAGTGGACTTTGCTGTTCCAATTCGCATGAATGGTATACGAGTGTAGCGACTGAGCGGAACGTATACGCATAGAGCGGGATAATACGCAGAGCATCGCACCATGTGAAAGTGAAACCTGAGCGGTGAACTAATTTTCGGCAGCCGAAATTTCGGTGCATCTCTAATTATTGGCGACATCAGAAATGGATATTATATAATAGATGCTTTTTTGAACATTTTAGCAATTTAAAAATATTAAAAAAGGATTTTTTTACACGGCACCCCTGCTCTCGACAGACGACACCCCAGGGTGCCGCGGCACCCCGGTTGGGAAACACTGATTTATACCATAGGCATGAAACAGACTAAAGACCTTTAAGGGTATTAAACCGTGAAACCCATTCACCTTTAAATCACAGGGAATCATGGTCAAACGTTTAAATGGCGACACTGAACTTTAGGCCATTCTCATTAGTTTCTCTTTGGAAAAGCACGCCCTTTTTACTCTTTACAAGTACTACTTCTAATCCTTTATGGGGTAGATTATTCCACTTTAATTATTAGGGATGAACACCAGTTTATCGGTATTATTTCGGTGTTAATTTATTATTGACCCATATGGATGGATATATATTGATTGATGTTGGATATTTAGTACTCATTTCCAGATTTTCATTTAGATTTGCATTTGCTGTCATCTAAGACTCGCTTTTATTATTTTAAGCACATTTATTTTTAGAGAAAATAATCATTTTAACTGCAATCTTTAGCAGATCTCAAAATGAATATCCGTTATTAATGCTGTACATTATAATGGTGTAATACCTAGATTTACATGCATGCTTTTAAAATTATGGTCTTTTATTTTATTTGTATTTGTATTTGTATTTTTTTCTTTTCTTTTCTTTTTTTTTTAGATAATTTGCTGTAGAGTTTTTAATATCAGCCATTTATCGGTTATCGGTTACCTTAGCATCATGGGGCGAGTTTTGCATTGCAAGTACTACTCAGATTGTCTTCTGAGTAGTCCAAAAATCCAAACATCTTGTTTAATATTGTATTTGAGTGTGTGATAAAATAAAATGTCTGCTTATAGAAAATCTGCTCATAAAATATAAACATCAGAATCAGTTATCCTTTCATAAGTGCATGTGTGTGTACATACGTAACCATATTCTGGATGAAATTTGTACCCAGAAGTGAGCTAAACCTGACAAAAGCATCTTTTGAGGATATTCGGGGATGTCCTCATTTGTAAAATCTACTGGTCAACCGATACATTGTGAAGGCCGATACATTAGCCGATATTTGCCAATTTTTAATTATCGGCATCGCCCAATGTGTTTTTATATTTGGCTGATGTGTCGCAAGCAGGACTTTTATTTTGACAACTCTAAGAAGATTTTCTTTAATTGTAAAAATGCTGCAAATTTTCTGTTAAGGGTTAGGTTACAGTATTTCTAACTAGCTGTACATAAAAACAAAAGTCTATGTAATGTCCCCATTTAAATAGCTGAGTAAAAGTGTGTGCGCATGAGTGCATGTCTGCTCTAGTTGCCACTCTGGGCATGTTTTGTTCTTCATGTTTGTCAAAGCTGTTTTTGCTGAGTAGATGGCTGCTCTCAGAGCAGTTCCTCCCTATTGGACGATATCCAGACTCTCTTCCTGCCCACAGCTTTACTGCACGGTTCCCTCACTGTCCCTGACTGCACTCTCTGCCTACACCTCCTATTCCTCTCTTTTCTTTATGTCTCTCCTAATAAATCCTAATTGTTCTTGGTATCACAACCTATCTCTATTGAAATGGTTTGGAGATCAGGGTCTGGCTGCGGGTTCTTTTCAGCTCATCACAGCCATGTGCTGCTGATTCCACAGAGCCATCAAGGCTGTTTGGTTGCCGCTGGATTTCATTTGTGAGAGTAAGGTGGTATCTCTGCCAAAGAGGCGAGGAGGGAACGAAATAGAAAGCAGGATCTTTTGATCATATTCTCAGAGGAAATCTCTGATTCTGAGTGTCCTTGCATTCTCACTTTCCTCTTTCTTCATCTCTCACTGTGTTCACTGCAAAACACAAGATACATTTACTTAAAGCAAAACTGTTTATTATTATATTTAATATATTAAGCCTGGTTTTCAGAGAAAATATTAAGTTTATTGTCGTTATCCTAAATTTTGTTATATTTAAAAAGGAACATCTTGGTTTCAGAGAACATATCTTGAAATAAGTTAATTGTTGTTATCCCATTGTCAGTTTTATTTTATTTTATTTTAACCGTTACTTAATTCTGTTATATGTATGCTTGTGAAAAAAGAAATATCTTGTTTTGAGAAAATATGTTTAGAATTAAGTTTGTTTTTGGTATCTCATTGCACACTGTAGTTTTTATTGTTTTATTTTATTTTATTTTATTTTAACTATAATTACATTTGGTTAGATATATGCTAAAAAATAAATGCCTAGGGCAACAAAAACTTAATTCAAGATATATTCTCTGAAGCACATCTTAATATCTTTCATCTGTTTGCTTCTCAAGTAAATATATCTTGTTTTTCGGCTATTTTAGTGGAAAACAAGACCAGAATAATGATTAGGAAAATATTTTTTGCAGTGTGCTTTGAGAAACAGGTTTACAGTTTACAGAAAGAACGGTGAGCTATTTTCAAATGGATTATCCTCGGCATCTTGCAATCTCACGAGGATCAGTGCAATCTTGAACAGCAGCTCTCCTTTGCTACATAAAAGTCAAACTAGTGCAGATGTATTTTGCCATTGCTTTTAGGAGTGTTTCATGCAAGGTCCCCCATGCACGCAGGATTTGGAGAAATATTCCTGGTTCTGTGGCTGCAGCATCCATAAAGTCCTTAGAATAACACTACTAGATTGTTTTTGCTTCTTACACTCACTTTGAACAACAACAAAAAAAGTTCCTGTTGCTCACTTTCTCCCCTGTTTGTGGCCCTCGACACTTTCAAATCTCAGAGAGTGGGTAATTTTAGATCCAGCGCAGTGCTGCATCATCCTCCCCTGTGTCGTTTTGGTCTATGGAAACGCTAGGGATAAGGTATGGAGGGGAAGATAAATAGAACAACACCTCTGCAGAATACTTCAAGCAGGAGGCCCAATGAACCATGCCGCTTTGTAATTATAATTAAAAAATAAAAATGATGGGTGATTTAGGACTGCCATGTGTGCTGGGTGGAAACTCAACCTCCCATTAAAGGCAGTGTGGCCCGATATAGGCGGTCTAGCGAAGGGGTGCCAGCCAAAACCGGAATGATAATGAGGACATTGGCTCGCTTCAGAGAATTGGGGTGTAATTGAGTTAATGAATGCATTCTGTTGCATCTCTGATTGAGCGCATGTCCCTTCGGCACTTCCTTTAAAGCGTTCTGACTGTTCTGTGTGTGTGTGTGTGTGTGTGTGTGTGTGTGTGTGTGTGTCTCGACGAGCTCACTTCCACATTCTCCTCCACCTGACATTGAGCCTTAAAGAAATAGTTCATGCAAGAATTAAAATGGTCATAATTTACTCTCCCTTATGTGTCTTCCTTTGTGCCTCCCCTGTATGACTTGATTTCTTCTGTGGAACACAAAAATATCCTGATCACTTTTCTTAATATGAAAGTGAATAGGGTCTGGGAATGTCTTGTTTCAAAATGACAAAAATGGCACTAAAATAAACAAAAATGCCCCCAAAGTTCAAAATAAGGGGGCAAAGACTGTGCCTATACAGTTGAATTAAATCTATTACAAATGTTGACATGATAAAACCAATTAAAAGTATGATCTCTGTTTCAGTGATTATAAGGACAGTTTTTTGACAGAGTGCATAACTTGTGCAAGACTGAAGTCACGGGCCGCTTCAGTGATGGAGAACGTTCTTTTCTCACTTTCTGTGTATAAGTTATTAGTAGTTTGAATAACCGTTTTGGTTTTCATGCTACCAATGTTGATTTTCTAATGAGTAAAAAGTAATTAACCAATTCAAAAATTGCTTGTTTTCTTTGCACACAAAAAGTATTGTTGTAGCTTCATTCAAATTTTTGATTGAACTAACCCTTTAAGTGAGTGCCCAATTAAATTTTGGTCTGTTCCTCACACAAACTGTGTAGTTTCAGAAGACATGAAATCTAATTCATTGGTGATACTTTCATTGTGCTTTTTGTTCATTTGGGAGCTTGACAGTCTATTGCCTTTGGAATGACTTGAGAGTAAGTAAATGACAGAAATCTCTTTTATGGGTGAACTATTCCTTTAAGGCTTCATGGTTGCTCGTTCATGTCATCGGATCTTCTGCTGCACATAGTTTGCTTAAAAGCTTAGTATAACTCTCAATGTGTTTCTCTTACAGATTGGTCAGTGGCATTCAGAGCAGGGACTGTCCATGGAGAGGAAGCTTCCATCACTTAACGTGACAGACACACTATTCAACACCACTCTCACCATAACTACCATCCTGGTAAGTCCTATCTTCTGCTCTGGTCCAGGTTCCTCAGTAGAGGACACACCCTACTGATTCAGCCAAGAGATTTACACACACACCCTGGAAAGGATATATAATTGCTCCTTTTTGAAAGAGTCTCTCTTTAGCTTCCAGAAACGGTCTGTCTAGTCTCTGATCACCTCAGGGTTCAGCACTGATCTAAATAAAGACTCTTCTCCTCTGAGATGAGTGGAAACTAACAAGTATGCGTGTGATAGCATTTCCTGGAGCAGCAACCACCAATTGAAGATGTAATCCGCTAGGCTGTTATCTAGGGGCAATTTTCTCATCTTTTCGTACACTGTATAGTGATGAGAAAAAAGAGGCTCTCCGCAGCCTTAGGCCGGATGTCGCATATCTGGCTGGGTCATCCCTCACTAGAAAAGAGAGGGGAATAAAGCGACTGCGAATGAAGAGGGGCCATGCAAGGTGAATGAAGCGCTCGAAAGCCAATAAATAGCTGGTTTAAAGCAGCCTTGTTGGGGACAGATGGAGAAATATTCTTCAGTTCAATTTACACCTGATGAATGATATGATAAGTGTGAAGAACTGCTGAAAAGACAAGCATAGTCATGCTGTTTACCAGCAAAACTTACCGCTGGTCGACCAGCATGATGCTGCTTCAAGGAATATTCCAAGTTCACTACAATTTAAGCTCAATCAACACCATTTGTAAAATAATGACTGAGACCCTTAAGCCCCGTTCACACCAAGAATGATAACTATAAAGATAACATCTGTTTATTCTATTTAAATTTTAAATTTTAAGCTTTAAATTCTCAAGCTCATTATAGCAGGATTGATTCTGATTGGGTGTCAATGTTTTTATCGTTCATCAGCTTCAAAAAAACTGTTACTCTGCCATTGATAGACTGGTGGCAATTGGCAGACTTGGTAAAGACATAATATCCTATTTAATATATGGTATAATATTAGCTCACTTTACCTCAGATGTATTAGAGAACTTCTCAGAATAATATTACTGCTTTAATCCTCATTAATATTGCTGAATAATTTCTGACCTTTATATGGTAATAATTATTTTAGCTGTGAGGAATAATGTGTGCTTAAATGGGTCATGAATTATTTTATAAAGTTTCCTGAAGTCCACTTATAATGTTTGTAGGTTTATTAAAAACTGCTGTAATTTAGAAATAGATTTTCTACGCTGATTTCAGCCCTCTGGTTTAAAAACTCGATTTAAATGGTAGGATCTCATTTAAGACTTACATGTGGGACTCTTTTGAAAACTGTTTTTATATCAATTATACTTTATATAAAACTATATATTTATTTATCACACTCCTTTTTTGCAGAGAAAACTTCATTGAGGGCATGTTTAGTGCTAACTTGTAGAAATTTAGTGTGTTACAATTGACCACAGTCTCCCCTGTAATCATTACTGGTTCAAAAATGTTTGTGTGTAGTCAAGCAGTGGGCAATGGGGCCAGAGGTGAATTCACAGTTATGCCACTTCGGCGTGTGGTAATGCAACTGCTTCTTTTCACAAACCTCCCGCCATCCAACTCAACCAGGCACTACATGAGCTTTTGGGTTTACTCTGTTTGACAGAGTTAATGCCTGATTTGCATAATTCCTTTAGTGATTCAAATACTAAAACAACACAGACAGCGTGTGCAAATACAAGACGCTGTTGTTTTATTTGTGTTTAATACTTTTTCAACCTTTCTGTGCAGTCATTTGATTCGGTTTGATATGCTTTCCCTTCGACAACTGCTTGCTTTCTCAGATAAAGCCATTGTCAAGACCTTTTTTTATTTTTTAAGCTCAAATACATATTGTGAAACTGGGTTCACTTTCCGTTCACTCTCTAAAATCTCCTTTCTGTGATGCTATCTGCAGTGTTTTTCAAAACGCCACATCATGAATTGAATGACTGAGAAAAGTCGTGTAAGCCTTTACCAGACAGAATTGTCTCTGAGAATCCATCTTAAAAAAAGAAAAGGCAAAGTATTATTAATCTGTATGGGTGCAATAGCAGAAGACAATAATGTGACATGGAGTGGATACTATGTTACTGCATCTTCTCAAAAGAAAGTCCTCACTGAATTCACGCTCACGGCAATCAATGATGGCGATAAAGTGCTCTTTCTGAAAACATGGAGAAGTACGATTGCAGAAACAATTTCATGATGAAACCTCAGGCTCACCATCTTCAGTGGACAGACCACTTTTATTGTGTTCAAAAAGTGGCAGATAGCCTTTATTCGCAGAGCAATTGGAAATGTTCATAAATATAAAATGTGAGGCGCTATCTTCATGTAATATGCCACCTCTGTGACCAATTTCTGTTTCTCAGACCACTATCAGGCAGAGCTGGTTCTGTCTGGACTATCTTCAGTGCCATTCACCCCCTGTAAGCCATAAAAAAATCAAGGGAGGCATAAATAAAGAGGGAGTAGCGGACCGGTCAGTTGCCAAACTCATTCAGGTTTTTTGAGAACGTCTGAGAAATGCTAACACACAAATCCAATTTTTCTTCACCTTCTGAACAAAAAGCTTTGAGATTTGATTTGAAGTAAGATTGACTTTAATGTGTTTGTTTTTCAAACGCACCAAACCAGACTGCCGCCATGCTATATTTGTAAAATGGATTTCATCAGCTGACAGCCTTCCAAGAAAACAAATAGAATCAAATCTGCTGCAGATCCCAGACTGGTGAGGAATGTTGCATTTGGCAGACGTGACACTCAAAGTGCCCTTAATCTCACTGTCTGTGCTATTAAACGGAAAGTTTCTTTCTCTGATGTGACCCACAGATTTTATGGAACCATTCAAGCTCGGAAGAGAGGATTGCTTGGCCTGATAACAGCACTCACTCAGTTGATTGATGCCCGAGCTCCATTCCTGAGATTGATGGCGATACGCCAGGACCGGTCCTGTGTGTTCACAGTTAACCTCGCTCCTCTTCCTCAATTGCTTCCTCCCTCTTTTCATAGGCTTGGCTAATAATGGATTATTATATGTAAATATATGGTCGCTCCATTTTCTGTCACTCGATCATCAATCAGACTAGAGGCTAGCTGAGAAAAGGAGTTGTTTTATAAGTTTTATTTAGTGGATTTATTTAGTGTAATTATTGCTAACCATTATTCTATAATGCAATCCAGCTTGCTAACCAAATATTACCTGAAAACAATGAAAGCAGAGATGTTTTATTTGGTTATTTTTAGCTTTACTGATGTTAAGTTAAATATGGTTATATGGAATTTAAAAGGTTCAGCAAGGCTAAGTTGTTATTGCTAACAACTGAAAACAGGCTGGTTAAATTTTTGTAGCTTCTGTAGTTTTTTAGCTTCTACTTGAAATGTAATCTAAAAGGCTAAGGCTAAGCTATAGCTTGTTAACGGAGTGTTAACTGAAAACACACAAAAATGTTTAACTTCAAATTTATAGATTCTGTAATATGCGATAAGTCATTTCTAAGCTGTAATGTCTAAGCTGTTAGCTTGCTAACCAAGGACTGAAAACAAAAGAATGGAAAATGTTTAATTTGAATTTTTGGTAAAATGCTGTGATCGATGGAATCGACTGCTGCCAGAGCTCAATTTCTGATATTGATGGCGAAAAGCCCGGTCCTGTGTGTCAGAGCCCTTAAGAAAATTAACCAGGGTTTTATTATAGTAAAAGTGTTGTAACCATGGTGTTTTGGAGAATTACCGTTTGTATAACCACAGTTTTACTTAGTATATCAAAACCATGGTTAATTTGTCGTAACCATAGCTTAACTAGTAACCATGTTTTTTGTAGTAAAACCATGGTTAATTTCTGTAAGGGAGTTTACTTCCCTCCTCTTCCTCAATTCCTCTTCCTCTGTCTTTTCATAGATTCTGCTTATAATGGATTATTAAGTATGAATGTGTAATCATTCCCTTTTCTTTGGCTTAATCATCAATCAGACCAGAGGCTAGCTGGCCATTATGGGCACCACGTAATGACCCGAAGCCGTCGATGACTTCTCTCACCCAGTGCGTAGACCTATTAATTGAATCCAGAAGGTTTGTTTATTAGCTTTCCTCCATTCTTTGAAACTGTCTGTCTAATATGCAACTGGTCCATGAAATTCTACTCTTTAATAAGCCTAGTTTGAGAGAAAGTGTCCGGCTGCAATACTTGAATGCCTCCAGCAGGCTGTAAGCGATGAAAATTAGCATTTATATTGTGCTTTTCTGCATAACCACCATAGTGGTGTCAGTGCGGGGCATGACGGTAACATGCGTGGATGATTCAACGAGATAATGAACAAAATGGAAGGATTTGCATTTATAGAGTGTCAGACTCTAGGTCAAAGCGGCTCCTCTTTGTGCCATGGCAATAAGGGATATCACTGTTTGCTCCGACAGGTCCAAGGTGCGCACATCCATCTGCAAATACATCGTGTGGCTTTTATGGACATACAAATGAGGTGAAAGGACAGTTACCGTGTTATTTGGATGCATATGAGCGGCTCGTGTTAATAGGGTTCAGGTTTATTTGAAGTGTCAGAATATGTCCATTTACGTTTCCCCTCGTTTGACAGGCCGCAAGACCCAGCTGCTGCTATACTCAGGCCAGCTGGATCGTGGCCACTGGGCACATCCAAAATCAGGGATGCAGGACCAGACAAGCAGGTAGAAAAAAAGAAGAAGAAAGTGTTGCCATGGTGATGCGAAAGACTGAAAAGTCTCCTCAGCTCTTCAGATTGCCACTCAAAGCATCGGAGTGGAGCGAGTCAGATTTACTGGTGAAAATGAAACACTCTCTCCAGTCAACCAGTCTGCGCTAAACAAATCTTAAGTACAACAGACCCATTTTAGTGTCTGTCTTACCGCAACACATCAGACAAAGTGATTTTTTTTTTCAGTTATAACAAAAAGTGATTTTGAAAAGCTTTTATATGGCTGGTTTCGTTCTGTAGTGTCTGTTTATGTCCAAGGTGCCAATGTTCTGTTCAATTTATGCAAAGTGTTTGAAAATGACAGTAACATACTCCATACCATGCACACTAGAAATATCCCAATGTATAACGGTGGGCACAGCCAGTGTTTATTGAAAGATGGCGGGATGAAATGTTTGCGAAGCCTTTATTTTGACCACAGATTGCCTAATAAATCTGTTCGGTCTTTGGGCAGCATGAGAAAACAAACCGTAAATTAGGAACTTGGTCTTTTGGTGGGCTCACATTAGTCACAGAGCCTTATGTGTCCAAACTTTTGCTATGCTTACATCAACGTATTTTTATGCGAACGTATATTGCGTTAAAAACCTCTGGATGGAAATGTCAAGAAGTGTGTAAAATCATAAAATGCGTATAAAATACGTGTTCAACTGAGGCAGATCATTATTTTTATCCAAAAAGAAGACATGCGCATAAACTACAACGGAAACACACATACAGAATAAATTCCTTAATACGTAACATAAAACCTCTTGCCTCAGCAGATCATTGAGTGGATAACTGGACTAACCAGTGGACCAGTCTCATTGTACAACATCTCATATGTTGGTTTAGTCATTCTGAAATGTCTGAGCCAAAGTCTGTCATCAAAATAGTTTGGGATAATTACATCTCAGAACTGTCTCACACCATTGCGTTCCCAAACATCAAGCATCCGCCTCTGAAAGCAAGATAACATGACAGCATTTGTTATTGCATTTCGTCTGCACACTCTGAGGTGCAAGTCATTTCTTATGTAAGAAAAAAAGCTACTGTGTTTTCCCCAGTTGCATCAACTTCCATTTTGATTCGATTTTGATTCGGTTTTGTTCTCTTGAACATATGGGATGGAAACGGTGCGATATTCCAATTTTCGCACATTAAATTTACAAGTTTGGATGGAAATTGGAAACATAGTTAGTGTGACTTGCCAACTCAAACAATCATTTGTCACACAAAAGTGAGTGTTGATTGATACAGAAGTGCTCCCAGAGTGTGTTAAGATGTGTGAGTGCTGACGATAACACCAATGATATCTTTACAGGAGAATCCATACGTAATGCTGAGAGCCAATCACCAGGAACTTGAAGGGAACGAGCGCTACGAAGGCTTCTGCGTGGACATGCTGAAGGAGTTGGCAGATACCCTGAAGTTCAAGTACCGCATTCGACTAGTTGGGGACGGTGTGTACGGAGTGTCGGGCGCCAATGGCACCTGGACAGGCATGGTGGGAGAGCTCATCAGCAGGGTGAGTGACGTCACAAGGGAATATGGTTTAATCAGAACAGCACTGCAGTGTCATGAATTTTCCCCCTTTCTTTGCTGCCTGATGATTATTGGTATTATGAAATGTTGCTTACATTAGCTAGTAGGCAAAGCTGTTAGCTTGCCGACTGAAGATACAAAGAAAGGAAAATGTTCAGTGTGACCATTTTTAGCTTCTGGAATATAAAGCAATATGTAATTTAAAAGGCAAGTAAAGAGAATTGTTTAATTTGATGTGATATGTAATTTAAAATGTGTGCATGTAATATGTGGTAGTTAACTTGAAAAGCTATATTAGGTTCAAATTTTAGCTCTCTAATCGTCGGCTAAATGAAAAAAAAGCTATAAAAATTTAAGGTGACAATTTTTAGCTTTAGCAATGTGAAATGTAATTTAAAATACACACACTACCCTTCAAATGATTTGGAAAAAAGTCTCTTTTGCTCACCTAGACTGTTTTTATTCGGTCAAAAACACAGTAAATATTATGGCCACACTTTAGTTTATTTTAAGGTCCAGTTCTCACTGTTAACTAACTATTAACTACAACTTTTGCCTCAATAAACTGCTAATTACTGCTTATTGATAGTTAGTAAGGTAGTTGTTAAGTTTAGGTATTGGGTAAGATTAAGCATGTAGAATATGGTCATGCTGAATATGTGCTTTATGAGCAGTAATAAACAGCCAGTATGCTAGTAATATGCATGCTAATATGCAACTAGTTGCTAATTAGTTGCTAATGTGAGAATTTGTCCCTATAATTAATATTAATAAATAAAATGAAAATTATTTCTGTGATGGCAAAGCTGAATTTACTTCAGAAATCATTCTACTGTGCTTATTTGGTGCTCATGAATCATTTTTTATATTATCAATGTTAAAAAAAAGTTGTGCTACTTAAACCGTGATACTTTATTATGGATTAAGGATTATTTTATCAATAGAAAGTTCAAAAGAACAGCTTTAAAAGAATCAATTTAATGCATCGTTGTTGAATAAAAGTATTAATTTCTTAAAAAAAGAATATTACTGACAAACTTTTGAACTGTAGTGTACTTTATATTTTTATAAATGTGATAAAACCAAGCATAAAAGTGATTTACTGTCATTTCTAATCAGGCAACTGTATACAGTACTCATAAAAAGTTGTTTCAGTCAGCAGAATGGCTTTGTTGAGGAAGGGGGATAAAACATTATTGGCAGTTTGTTTGTCTAGTAGCTTGTCGTATCTTACCTGAGGAAACAGAATCACTGGCAGATTTTATGGTTCCCCTCCTCCTAAATCCCAATTTAACCCCTGGTTATTCTGGCATCTAGAACAGTCATGTAGTATGACTTTCATTCAAAGCACACCACTTCTGCTGTTCTGAATACATAGCATGAAACAGTCTGCTTCCTCTTGTTTTAGCTTAGAATTATTCACTCTCAAGTGCTCATTTCAATAATTCATTAAAGGAAGGAAGCCTTAAAGCCAGACTAAAAATTGTTTTACTTGCTTCCACACAGGTGATGCAGATTAACCAACAATATTCATGTTTATGCCTCCAACCCAGTTACAGGTCCCTCGTCCTAATGAATTTCAATTAGCCCATCTGATCCCATAACAGACACACACACAGATGTGTTTAAAAAGACTCAGTGAAGCGTGAAGAGTATTGGTCCCATTCTGACAGCCTCTAACATCCCGTTGATGAGATGGAAATCTTGCATGCCGCAAATACTGTTTAGTTACGAGCGCTTGCCCTTTTCGGCGGAAATGTTATTTATTTAAAAACAGTCGCAGCATTACGGCGTGCTGCTGATTTATTCGTCCGTTTTTTGGCAGGCACTGCAGGGAGCAAAGTAAATTTTCTGAAATGAACAAAAAGGCCACGGCGATATTCATATATTTCCAGGGGAAAGGGTCATAAACCAGAACATTTCTCTGCAGCCTACGTTCTCGCATTCAAAAACGGAGAGGCTTTGAGAAGTTATACGTCTTAATTCCACAAGCTAATGGAGGGCAAAGCCATTAGTGAAATAAAGAAAGCAGTGCCTAATCTTATTATTGTCTCAATTTGTTCCCTCAAAGTATGCTCTATACAGCTGACCTTGAGAGTGGCCAGTGAGTCTAATTGCATCCCACGCACTATAGTGTCTGTAGACAGTAGAGGGTGATGAGGGGCAACTGAAGGAGGCGAGGAGCGCTACCTCGTCCTGACAGCCTCTTTATGCCTTTAGGATTCCATGAGGGACCTTTATCCTCTTATTTATTACATAAAAACATGGGAATAGATTTGCATATGAACAAAGACTGCAAATATGTTCGCAGTTGTGATTGAATGTAACAGAAAATTGAATGAAGTACAAGCTAACATTTTGCCACACCTGCTAATGGCTGGTGACTTGAGAAAATTGAACGGCCATATTTTTTACTGGCCATAAAACTGTATGTGCATAGTTTCATAAAAAAAAAAAAAAAAGGCAGAACAAATTGAGAAAACACATCTAATTGCAATTATTATTATTATTGTCTTTATTATTTACACAACAATAGTTGAATTACAATACTAATATTTATTATATTTTTTTTTTCTGTGTTTGCAAACGTTGAACCATAAAGATTTTATTTTGGCAGAAAACCGCAGGAAAACGTCTCTTGAAAAGCTTCTCTTTTTATGACTAGTTTTATAAACCATTAATAGAGTTTCACTATGACACAATGCATCACTTTTTTTTTATAGGTATTTCTGTCATATTTGCATTTGTAATATAACATTTTATTTTCCTTATTAAATTATGTTAAGAGTTGGACATTTAAAAGGATTAAAAATAATTTATGATCAATTAAAATATTTAATTTATTTCAAATATTTAAAATAAACAAGGACTATAGAAGAGACTGGATTTTCTTTTTTATAAATATCCCTAACGGTATTAAAATTGAACATACACATTAATAAATGTATATACACCTTAATGTACGTGTAAGTACAGCCATTATTTTTAAAAAGTACATCTATGTATAATACATTTTTCAGTCATTATGTTGTTATTATGTAATATCATTATTGGATTTAAAAGAATTTTTTAAAGAATTTTTTTTAAAGAAAACTGTATAATATAATATATTATTAAATCTGAAAGCACAAAATTCTGCAATGGTTTGTTTTAATTATATATAATAACATACATTCTGTATGCTTGTTTAGTCAGTGTATCTGTTTACATGCTAAATGCAATCTAAAGCCATAAAAATGAACCTTAAGATATTAATGGTCGAATCAAAGTTTAAATTTATATTTAATTCATGTATTTTGATGGTTATGAGTTGATAAATGAGGCAACAAATACAATACCTCACATAAACATTTCTGCTATTAATATTATAATTTCTTGGAAAATGAGAATCTGCACATAAGTGGCTCACTTTTGCCCTAAAATATGGACTCCTAATCCCACAGTGACTGTCCTGGTCATGCTTTATAATGTTCTGGAAACTCTTGTAAAACTAAAGACAGCGCAATAGTACACTAAGGTAGTGAAGCAGCCGAGCTGTCAGGGTTTTCTATAGCGTCAGATGCAGAATAAGCCTCAGAGGGAATTTGAAATGCCACACTGGGAACTTACATCAATGTATTATTCAGTAGTGATAGAGTTGACATTGCCTTCTTCTCTCGTTTTTTGGGGGCATCACTTTTTGATTGAGTCAAAGCTGAGGGGGAGGATGGAGCGCAGGAAGAATATCATACTGCATTATTTATTATTTAGAGTCTCCGTCTCATAATTTCTCTCTCTGTGCAGTCCAGCCATCAATATTAATATGTAACGAGATGTCAAATATTTGAGTGGCAGTTATTGTCCTTGTTTCTGTTATGGATGACATCTGTCTGAGGGATTTCTGTTCAGCGGGGACCGCGTAATTTCCTTGTTTGTGTGTCAGCGTGATGTTTTGTTGTGTGAAGTGAAGTGTGCATGAGTTGGAGAAGAGCTGTGGGCCACAGCTGAACTATGGAGAGCACTTGAAGATTAGTGCATCTGCAAGCTGTTATTGGGGAAGGAATCTTCAGGGATTTTTCAGGGAATCTTCAGGGTCGCTTTTGCTACGGTGAAGTACTGTACATCGCAAGATAATGACATAACTAGCTTTATAATCAGGTGAGCAGACAGTTGCAGGGTTATTATCGTTACCTAAAACCATGAAAAACATGGTTTCTTTAAATAAAATAGATGGTAACACTTTAGAATAGGGAACACACAGTTGAAGTCAAAAGCTTACATACTGTACACCTTGCAGAATCTGCAAAATGTTCATTATTTTACCAAAATAAGAGGGATCATACAAAATGCATGTTATTTTTTATTTAATACTGACCCGAATAAGATATTTCACATAAAAGATGTTTACATATAGTCCACGAGAGAAAATAATAGTTGAATTTATAAAAATAACCCCGTTCAAAAGTTTACATACACTTGGTTCTTAATGTTGTTACCTGAATGATCCACAGCTGTGTTTTTTTGTTTAGTGATAGTTGTTCATGAGTCCCTTGTTTGTCCTGAACAGTTAAACTGCCTGCTGTTCTTCAGAAAAATCCTTCAGGTCCCACAAATGCTTTGGTTTTCCAGAATTTTGTGTATTTGAACCCTTTCCAACAATGACTGTATGATTTTGAGATCTATCTTTTCACACTGAGGACAACTGAGGGACTCATATGCAACTATTACAGAAGGTTCAAACGCTCACTGATGCTCCAGAAGAAGAAAAAAAACATGCATTAAGAGCTTGGGGGTGAAAACTTGAATTTGAAGATCAGGGTAAATTTAACTTATTTTGGTGTTCTGGGAAACATGTAAGCATCTTCTGTAGCTTCTGAAGGGCAGTACTAAATGAAAAAAAAAATCATATTTAGACAAAATAAGAAAAATGTACACATCTTCATGCATGCTTTTTTTTTTTCTTCTGGAGCATCAGTGAGCGTTTGAACCTTCTGTAATAGTTGCATATGAGTCCCTCAGTTGTCCTCAGTGTGAAAAGATAGATCTCAAAATCATAGTCATTGTTGGAAAGGGTTCAAATACACGAAATGCTGGAAAACCAAAGTATTTGTGGGACCTGAAGGATTTTTCTGAAGAACAGCAGGCAGTTTAACTGTTCAGGACAAACAAGGGATTCATGAACAACTATCACTAAACAAAAAAACACAGCTGTGGATCATTCAGGTAACAACATTAAAAACCAAGTGTATGTAAACTTTTGAACAGGGTCATTTTTATAAATTCAACTATTATTTTCTCTTGTGGACTATATGTAAACATCTTTTATGTGAAATATCTTATTCAGGTCAGTATTAAATAAACAATAACATGCATTTTGTATGATCCCTCTTATTTTGGTAAAATAATTAATATTTCGCAGATTCTGCAAGATGTATGTAAACTTTTGACTTCACCTGTATTCACTATTAACTATGACTTTTCCCTCAATAAACTCCTAATTTGCTGCTTATTAATAGTTAGTTGTTAAGTTTAGGTATGGGGTCAGATTAAGGGATCTAAAATATGGTCGTGCGAGAATAGGTCCTTAAAATAAAGTGTTACCAAATAAACTTTAATAAAATATTAAAATATGTTTTAAAGTGTATTATTTTGGCTTACAAATAACTAAAATCAAGATAAAAATTAAGACTATATAAAAAAATGAATAACCAAAAATCAAAAATTTTCACTAAAACTACAGTTTGTTAAGAAAAGGCTTGAAAAATGAAAACAAAATCTAAAAAAAACGTACCTCAATGATACTTCTTGGATCTTGAAACACGTGTCTAATGTTCCTAATTCGGCTCTCGGAGTTAACAAGCCTCTCCTGTCGCTTTCAAGGGTTCAGGCTTGAGGCTAAAACTTCACATTGTAACCGGAATCTGCTGTCCGGAGATTCTCTCTCATTTACAGCACGGCTGCAATATCCCATCATTCCTCCTGGAGAGGACAAAGAGCAGTGGAGGGTAAGAGTGTGTCCCGCGGGACCGTAAAATCCCTTGCAGATGCACTTTTCGGTGTTGTTTGATTAGTGGGATCCGGCCACAGCATTGTGCCCGGCAGCACTGGATGCTGTGTCAAGTGATTTGTCATGACAGTTTCTGTGTTCATGTTCCATCACACACACACACACAACAACTCAGCTTTGCCCTTCAGAATTCACCAAAATACAGGTATTTGGACTGCAAGCAGTTGTTTCCAAGTGTAAAAAGACAGGTCATGGTAGCTTAAGGTGGTTAAGCTGGTTTGTTGCTGGTTTGAGATGGTTTACATGCTCTAATCAGCTTAACTAAGATGGACTACAGGGGTGTCATGATTTTGAGGGGGCTTTGTGCTTTTGGTGAGACAAGAGACAAACACCTACTTCATAATGATACATAAATGTATTTAATAATTGTACTTGATAATCAGTGTTATTTATGTGTAATTTATACAATATTATTTATTAATATTTTGAATTAGAGTTTTAATGTTTTTTGGATTTGTTTCAATTTCAGTTTGCATTTATATTTTAGTTTTAAGTTTTAGTGTTTTTGTTATGTGCTTACATCATTACTATTTTTTACTTTTACATATTTTTACTTTTTTATTTTAGATGTAATTTTTATTTCAGTTTTAGTTTTTCATCTAATATTTATATTTAATTGTAATCATTTATATAACTATATATTTTATAATTCCGTTTGATCAGTGTTGTTTTTATATAATTTATGTACTATTACAGTATTTATAAATATTTATGTAATATTATATATATATTTATTTTATTTTATTTTATTGTATTATATATATATATATATATATATACTGTATATACACATACACACACACACACACACACATATATATATATATATATATATATATATAATATATTATAATAATATGATAAATATTAGTATTAATATATATTTGTCAGTTGGTTTAATATTTTCAGATATACTTTTACTTTTAGTTATTTTGTTATGTGTTTTTGTCATTTTTTTAGCCTTATTTTAAATAATTTTTATACTTCAACTTATTTCACTTTTTAAGTTAAATTTTAATACTTTATTGTATTTCAGCTTTATTTTTATTGACTAAAACTATTTTTATTTGTTTTATTTTTAGTTAACAATACCAACACTCTTGATATTGAAGTTTAAAATTCACTTGGCTTAAATATCTGAGGGGCCAGATACCCCCTTTCTTGAACCAGCAAGAAACCACATATATACCACCTTACCCGGTTTGAGCTTCATTTTTTGCACCTTTTTATCCAGCCCCGCATTAATGGCTGCTGTTATTTTGCATATGTTTCAGAAGGCTGACTTGGCTGTGGCCGCCCTGACCATCACGGCCGAGAGGGAGAAGGTCATTGATTTCTCCAAACCCTTCATGACTCTGGGGATCAGCATCATGTACCGAGTGCACATAGTAAGTTCCTCCATCTCCTCCAGCCACTGCAGCCCGAGACTCCCGAACCATTCCCGACCTTGTAGCATTAAAGATCAACAATCGGCAGCCTCTACTGGCCGGAGAGAGAGCGCGTAGGAAATAAATAGAGAAACACTTTGGGGCAGAGAGCTCTGAGCCCTTGCTGTAGCAGATGGTGCGCTGTTGTGTGAAAAGCTGATAAATGTAGTGCTTTCCTTCCCAATTTCAGATTCTCCTTATTGTGGCTTGTATCTAATTCACACCAATAAAACCCCGAGCTCTTGCACACGGCAACACTGAAAATCCAATAGCTCTTTTACCTTTAAAGGCCTGTGCGCCATTAATCAAAGCCCCTCCCCAAGCCCAAGGTGACATGCTGATCTCTCTGTTGGCTAAATGCCGGATGAAGCCGCTCGGTGCAGTGTGTGCAAACATTAATGTGGTGTCCCGGTAGGGCATTTACGCAAACACACACACACACACTCACTCGCTTACACAAACTCATCGTCAGCCCCCTGCTCAGTTCATGCTGCTAATAGATGCTCCTGTGTGTGTCTTCATTGGTTGAGAACAGTTGGGGGAATCAATAACACCAGGTGTGCTGTTAACTGATAAAGAAATAGCACTTCTGGTGCAGATTTTTGAACTACGGCATAAAAAAAAGCATGCGTACGGCACAAATGCATGCTTTTCACCCAACTCAAGTAGGCCATAACATTGTCATATAGACATTGAGTTAGAAAAGTCACCCCACTGATTGAGACAAAAAGTTCACAAAATGTTTAGGCTGATTGTATAGGGTTCGCAAATTGTGCTGTATTGAATTGAAAACTGATTATGAAAATTCTTGTTCTTTTACTGTTCTTCTTTTTTATTTCTATTAAATCTAAGAATTTAAGAAAAAAATTTACCCCCCACCCAACATTCAAGACACATGCTGCGTCCCAGGTCGTCTACTTATACTATGCCCTAAAAGTATGTACTCTCTTTGTGAAGAAAAAGTACATACTTTTGAGTATGTAGCAGAATAGTAGGCAAGCTTTGGGACATACTACTTCGTCATTATTACGTCTTTAACGGGCCGCTCTGTTGTTTAGTTACGTGCATTCTTTCACTGTTTAAACTGCCCTGTCAATCATCTTGTTACAGTTAACATAATCCACATTTTGTTTAATTTTATTTACAAATAAAATGTACGTTGTTCTTCCTGTCATGGGTCTTTCCTCATACTTTCCTCATATGTTTGCATAATGATGCATTTAAAAGTTAATGACCAAAGTTATCTTTATAAAATTGTTGTAGATTAAATATAACGCAGATAACATTAAATAAATTTAATTTCTGCATATCTGGCATGTTTGTAGTTTTTTAACACTTTTTATGCATGTTTGTAGTTCTAATCGAATCCTTGTCCAACGCACAATGTGCTGTGGGCAATATTAGCCATTAGAGTGTGCATCGATCTGCACTTCGAATTCTAACTGGAAGTAGTCGACTGTCCAGGACTCTTTGGCGTTCTTTTTTCAACATACTACGATTTGGGACATATATAATTCTATTTTCGAATACTATTTAGGACAGATGTATGATGTATGACAAATTCGATGTATGCGAATTGGGACGCAGCAATAGTTATATCATTTTCTTTATTATTTTTTTCTTTTCTTTTTATTATTTTCAGTATCGGTCAATATTGGATATTTATTTGTACATGTTCTTTTCCATTATTTTTTGCCTTCAAATTACATTTGCCATCATCTGTAACTCACTTAATGTTAACAAATATTAATTATTTAATAACACTGTTAAATGTAACCATTAGCAAATCTCAAAATCAGTGTTTTTTTTTTTTTCTCGAACACTGGATTATAATGTTGTGATGCCTAAATTGACTTTGAGCATTTAGCATTTAAACATTTATAGTAAATTTTAGTGTTTTATTTCTAATTTATTTAGACTAAATATTGTAGAATTTTAATATCAGCCATTTGTTGGCCATATCATCGTATCTGCCAGAACTTTAGTATTTGGGCATTTTTACCAATTACTATTAATGAATGTTTTTTTGTACTCACATAGAAGTTTCTCATGTGCTAAAATGCTTTTGTGCCCACACAATAGTCTCAGTGCTTTTTCATGCTAAATGTGCTTCATAACAAGCACTTTTTAGCACTTAATTATATTTTCAGATGTAGCAAGGTGGGTTTTAGACACTGCAGTTTAAACCTATGTACCAAGCTTTACGAGATTAATCAAATAATTCACATTTTTTCCATGAACAATTTCAATACTACTGGCTATAGGCAATAAATGCTAAATAGGAAAATTGTTCCAGAACCAACAAAGGGTGTCGGGGTAAATTAAATTGTGCCCCACAGTGAGCTCAGGTCTTAGTGAGGTGTGAATTATTAGCTTAAAATGCTTTCGTTTCCAGCAATAAATAATTAATTTATAGGTTGATTTTCCCTGAAAACTGTAAACACTGTGGAGCTTTCAAAACATTGCTGAAATTATAGACTTCACCTTTAAACACTAGGCTGCGACTGCCCTAGAGAGGTGGCTGAGAAAGTAAGAGAAAGAAGTGAAAGTTGATTGAGAAAGGCACAGAGGCAGACACAGCAAGTGACTCGGAGACAGGCAGACAGAGAGAACAGTGACAGAAGACATAAGAGGAGTGTTAAATGAGTTCACACAGGTAAAGAGGATAAAAGGCTGTTGTACAGTGTAGAGCTGTTCTCAGGCTGGAAAGCCTTGAGCTCTCTCTCTCTCTCTGTCTGTCTCTCCATGGCTCTTGTCTGTCCCAGAATAAAGCTGGAGTGGATGAAAATATCAGGTTGTGATGTCACTACATGAAGAAGGCTGAGCTCATGAATATTATTTTAGCTTTTGCTGGTGTTGCTGATGTTTCACATTGATTTGCAAGATATATTAAATATTAAACCAGTTTTGCATTTGTGCTCGTCACATTCCATATTAATAATTTATCAGAACTGAAATATCAATAATATATCAACAATATATACATGAAATATCAATTATATATGTGTGTGTGTGTGTGTGTGTGTGTGTGTGTGTGTGTGTGTGTGTGTGTGTGTGTGTGTGTGGTTTTTCGATTAGTACTTAATCAGAATTTTATACAAATATAAATAATTTTATTTATTTTAGAAATCATTAGAAAAATATATATATAATTCTGAATTGAATATTTTATAATTTAATTACTTTTTATTTTTAAATTCAGTTTGTGTGTATTTTATTTTCTACTATATACCGTACTGTTTTTCTGTTAATAATTTATAATAAATCAGAAGTGAAAATTTATGAATATAAATTTTTTATTTTCTACAATTAGAGATAGATAGATAGATAGATAGATAGATAGATGGATAGATAGATGGATAAAGAAAGAAAGAAAAAGAAAGAAAGAAAGAAAGAAATTATATATATATGTATATAAATAACTCATTTTAATTTAATATTTTATATAATTTCAGTTTGTTTGTATTCTGCTATATATAGTTTTTCTATTCATAATTGTTGATTAATCAGAAGTGAAAATGTATTTAAATATACATTAATTTTATTTATTTTGATATTGATATTTTGATATATAAGACATGAGCCGGCTAAACTTGGTTGAGTGTGTTAAAGATGGGGGTCGGCCTTCAGTTCGGTTGCTCCTGCTCAGAATAATCTCCTCTCACTCATCTATACCCCACAGCCATGGTGCTCTGGATATTTGGATTCTTGTGCGTGCACTTGTTTAGATTTAATCCACTTACTATTGATCCAGCAGGCTTTGATTTCTACAAGGACCCCCATAGCTTATTTCAAACTTTAAATGAAATCCTTCGCTTGATCAATAACAATGGCAAATGGAATAAAATGTGGCCTTCGGCCCTGTTTTAATTACATGTTTGCGCGTACAGTGGTATCTCCATCGCAGCGTGTAATTGGACGCACTGGTAAACGTGAACGTATGGAATGTGCCATTTTGTTTTTGTATGTATATATGAGTGTAGTATGGAGAGTGTGACGCAAGAATGCATGAAAATTAGTCTCCCTTCGTCTTGTGTGGTGCACGCAGGGAGGAAGAAGAGAGACTAGGTGTGGCTGAGGATGAAATAACTAATTAGTGCAACAAGTTAATTACAGTAGATGGTACAGGGAGCATTGGCAAGATCATGCACAGCCACAAAAGAGCAGCAACAGAGCTTGTGTGCATTATGAGACTGTGTGGAATGTACAGAGAAAGAAAAAGAGCAGCTGCCCTCAGAACATAAAGTCAGGGCACTTTTTTCCTCTGAAGCACTCCAGCTGTGACAAGACCATGTTCCTCCCACTGGCCACACACTTTCAAGGTGTGAGCGGCTACAAAGGGAACTCTGTGCCTCTACTGCATAGAGCCCTCTTGACTCATGACTGAGCGTTTATCTCACAGCAGCGTGCTTGGATTCATGATGTACTTCAGATTTGAAATAATGCATCACGGTCGTGTTGTTCCGCTTAAAATGAGCCTACAGAAGGACAATTTTTAAATCTGGACGTTTTTAGTGACAGGAGAAGAAATATTGTGAATGTTACCGTCTTTCAGTGGAATTCAATGGAACATTAAGTTTTCAAATCTTTTCTACACAAGTCGATCTGACAGTGGCTGGTAAACATGCGCTGACAGTATATCACTGCTCTGTAGCAGACGCTTCACTACAGATCAGTCTGAACAGCAAATCACAGTGGAGACTAGTAAAGGGTTTTTGACCAGAGATCTTTGAGTGAAACAACAAACACACACTCAAGAACCCATACGTAACCCTTTATGTATTTTTATTAAATGCATGTGTAATGCATCCATCTTATGGAAGCCCGTTTCCATCTTTAAAAAAATAAAAGATAATTGTGACTCTTTTTTTTTCTTTTTCATTGTTATGATCTCATAACATAACTTTTGACATTTTATCTCGCAATTTGCAATTTTACTTCTTGTAACTGTAACTTCATATTTCATAATGTGACTTTATATCCCACAATTAGATTTTATATTCCACAGTTGCAACTTTACATCTGACAGTATGACTTTATATCTCACAATTTGGTTTTATATATCTCACACTCAGTTAATTTTATATCTCACAGTTGCAATTGTATTTCTTCACAATGTGACTTGTTTTAAACTTTATCTCACAGTGATCTGTTTATTTTTATTTTGAGGCAGAAATAAGCTTCCATACTATTTTGTGTCATTGTTTCTTAGATATTTATTTTGCTTAGCATGTGGTATCTTTAATTGACACCATATACTTGTGCTGACATGGACTGATGATCAAGTTCTCCAGCATGATTTAAAAAATCATTGAGCATTTTGTGCTTCAGTGGAAGAAATAAGATCTTGTAATAACACAGTCAAGGTCTAAAAATTGATCTACAAATATACAGTAGTGTTCAAAAGTTTGGAGTCTGTAAGATCTTTTTTAATGTTAATGTTATGCTCACCAAGGCTGAATTTATTCATGAAAAATACAGTAAAAGTTGTATTATTGCTAAATGTTTATGCAATTTAAAATAACTTTACTATTTGAATTTATTTTAAAATATAATTTGTTCTTTTATTATTTCTGTGATGGCAAAGCTGAATTTCCAGCATCATTACTTCAGTGTTCAGTGTCATATGATCATCATTCTAATATGCTGATTTGCTGCTCAAATTTTTTAATTAACATTACAAATGTTAAAAACAGTTATGCAGCTTGATATTTTTGTGGAAACCATTATATTTGTTTCAGGATTCTTTAATGAATCTAAATCTCAAAAGAACAGCATTTATGTAAAATAGAAATGTTTGTTACTATCTTTACTGTCATGTTTGATGAATACAATGCATCTTTGCTGAATAAAAGTATAAAAATAATTACTAAACTCATTTCATCTTAAAGTTCAGAATCTTAAATATCGTTTTGTTTTACATTCTTTCAAAATCCAAAAATGGCAAAATTATTTATAAATCAAACCTGTATGTTAAGCAAAAGTAAAAATCAATTTGCAGTCATTGAATAGTGAAATTTAATTATCATTAAAGCTTAACAAGTATGAAACATCACCGATGAGTGAAACACGCCACTAATGAGAAAGCCATCAGTGGTTATATTTATTATTCAGGAAGTGAATGCCCTACATTTGGAAAAGAGCAAAAAAATCGGCAAATTCAAACTTGAGATCAATCACATTAACGCCACAAGGCATAATTCATTGTTTTAATAAACTGACAACTATTAAAAGTAGAAGTAAATAACTGTTCCCATAAATACCTCTCTGTGCGCTGAACATTGTTACAAGAAACACTGAAGCTGTAATCAGTAAAAACAGATAAACATAGTAAGACAACACATGCAATGACAGCTCTGCAGTTTCCTCTGTAATTTAATATGTTGTGTAGTGCAAATGTTAATGAGGACTTGGTTAACCAGACACTGGGAACCCTGGTGTGAGATTCTGGTATGACTGCAGGCTTCTGCAGCTGCTTCAGGTTTTATTTCGACAGCCAAAGCAGCAGCAGCGCTTCTCAAAGACTACATTTTTAGTATATCACTGGGAGAAACTTTATTTCTTAGCTCAAACCCACTAAGCCACAAACGAGAAATTACATAACACCACAGAGACACATCAGAGCCTATGGGGACGCGCTAGAGTCGAGCAAGAACTGCCCTACTGCACTGCTGTTAAGTCAAACTGGGGGAGGATCTTTCTGTGCTCATTTGTTAAACGATCAAGGGAAGATTCGCTCTTGAGGGTGTTACATGTTCGAAAGGCTGTTAAACCGCGTGTATAACCTGTGTAGCTCACCACTAAAACAGACGTGCACTAGTTTCTCACTTGTTTTCCGGCAGGTTTCTGCAGTCCACAATGTTGATTGTGCTTTTGTTTAAACCTTAAAATTGAATTTACTAAGAGGCTGTAAACAACGCAAGTTGCTTCAACTGGAAGCAGATTGCACAAACCCAACCCGTACCCCCTTGTGAGCACCATCCGCAAGTCCCTCTCGCTGTAAGTCACGATACAATTATCTCCTCAAATCTCACTCGAGCTCAGTCTGGCACATACAGGCCCCAGGCACGGCCCAATTTTCCCATCCCTCGACGGCAGCTTCCGTAAGAAAGTGTAAAGCAACCTGCCTAAGAATAAAACCACACCTAAACCGGCTTTTTTCCCCCCATTGAGAGCCCATCAGTTTCTTGTGTATCTACCATAGACAGGCTTGCCTCTATTTATTGCTATAATTACAGCTTTTAGTGTCCAGCTCAACAGCAATGCCATTCAATTACACTAATATGGAGATGATTGCAGACACATTAATGAATTTCCAGCCTGGTGCGGGATAGATAGTGGAATAATTACTAATTTCCGCACCATAGTAAACCTGGTTTTTGTAGTCTTGGGGGGGAAAAGCAGCACAAATGATTTGTTTGCGAGTGTATCCATCTCTGGGACTATTTAGATCCACCATCTGTAAGACACCTGTGGAGTGTAGATAGATTAGGCATGGTGCTTTCACACTTAGTTTCTCGCTGATAAGAGACTGTTAAGTTGTTGCTGACCACTGATTGTCAAAGTACCTCCAGGAGAGATAATTGGATTTGACTATTGTGTACAGAATCGGCTCCCGAGTTCTGTTCCAGCAGTTATTGGATCTTCAGGGTGTGCCAAAATGGTTAGGAGACAGAAAATCAAGCACTTTGTTTGGATCAAGCCAATCAACCGTAAAAGCCTTTAAACATCTTTAACCCGAATGTTTACTTACTGGAATTGAATGATATATGCTTATAGGATCTTTGGGATGCTTGTTTCAGTGTCTTGATGTTGCCTGTGTGTTTTTATAGGGAAGAAGACCGGGGTATTTCTCCTTTTTGGATCCGTTCTCTCCTGGGGTTTGGCTTTTCATGTTGCTGGCGTACCTGGCAGTGAGCTGCGTGCTCTTTCTGGTGGCGAGGTAAATACTCAGCTCCACACTGACACCTGCAGGATCTTATTAGCACCAACACTATCCCTAAAGTGGTAGTGCAGCTAAAAAATGGCTCAAAATTGTACTGACATTTTGAAAGAACATCTTAAAGAACTTTTACTCTGCTGCCATTCAATGAAAGTGGAAAGCTCCAAAATGGATTAAAAGGCTCCACAAATGCAAAATAAAAGTTGTACATATGAATATTACACTATATTCCAAGTCTTTTTCAGAAACAGACTAGAATTTAATTCATTATTCACTAAAAGTTTTACCTAGCCACTTTACTGCTACCATTCACTTTCATTGTATGGAAATGAGCTTGGACACTCAGCTAAACTTCTCCTTTCATGAAAGAAAGAAAATCATACAGATTTCAAACAACATGTAGCGCATCTTAAATTTGATTTTTTTTTTTTTTTTTCATTAATTCCTCGATTGTCATTCCAAACCTGTATAACTTTATTTTTTTAGTGTACATTTTTTTCCTGTTGTTTTCCATACAGCAAAAGTGGATGGGGACTAGGCCTATCAAGCTCATAAATGGACAAAAAAATTCCATAAAAGCAACATAAAGGTTGAACATATGAATCATGCACTATATTATAAGTCTTCTGAAGTCATATGCTAGCTTTATGTCAGGAACACACTTAAATAAAATTTTAATTCATTATTTACAGAAAATGTTTGACTGCTCTGGTCACCATTTAATTTCATTGTCAGTGTTCCAGTAGCTTGGAGTAGCTTGGACATTCAACTAAACTTCTGAAATGTTTCTTGAATGAACGAAAGTCATTGATTTTGAATGGCATGTGAATTAAAAATGTATTTGTTTATTTTCTTGCTTTAACACAACATTAGACATTATGGGCAAGATTTACTAACAGCTTGCGTCAGCGCAAACCATTTTTGGCATTAAAATAGTACTGTCAGGATTTACTAATGACATGCAGTGACGAATTAGCGCTGAAAAGGCATGGACAGTTTTTTTTTTTTGCGCCTGACCTTATTGAATATGCATTTGTAGGAGTTTCCCTTTCAGACGCATAATTTATGGGAAGAGAGAGTATTAAATTTAATCACGCAATGTGATTTACTAACGTTTGCGCTCGTCAAATTACTGGTATTTGCGCCACTATTTAACGGGCAAAAAAAATCTTAAAGCAGGCAGTAAGAAGCTGGTCATTATGGAAATGATCTGGCTGCGTTTGTGTTCTTTAATGTGCGCATTTTCAGTAAATCACCCGCAGAATTTTCCCCTCCCATCGGCGCATTTATGGAATTGCGCTCTTACGCTAATTTGCCGTTTAGTCAATCTGGCCCTATATCCCTAAACTAACCTTCTACTAAAACCGGAGGGTAAAGATTAGTTGATAGGAATTTTGGAACATTCCTACTGCATGAACTAATCTTTGTGCTCTGGTTTTAGGGGGAGGTTTAAAGGTTAGGATTGTTAGTTTATAGGAATGATGTTGTTGCAAGATTAACATCCTTTGTTGGTCCTGTGAAACAGTCATGACCTTAAACCTAACCCTGAAATCTAATTGGTTGGTTGGAATGCAGTTCTAGGATCAGCATGTGTGTATTTGTAGACATTTCATTTTAAACTCACTTTTTATTCCAGCTTTGCATTGGATCACAAAAGAAATGTCATGTTTTATACTCTTTCACAGTAGCCTGCTGATTTTCCAGCATTCTGCAGGACAACGGGGGTGTTGGGCGTTTTTATTCACTGAACATTACCTGTCAAGACATTTTATATAAATTCATAGTTGGAGCTTTTGCGTATGCGTGTGTTTTTCTTTGTTTGCCTCTCTATAATGTGTATATTTTTACACATTTGTTATTGAAATATGACCTGTGTTTTCTTTTCTGCATTGCTTGTGTTCGGCATTTCAACAGAGCTGTAATGGGGAAGTCATGGCCTAATGGTTAGAGAGTCGGACTCGTAACCCAAAGGTTGCGGGTTTGAGTCTCGTACCGGCAGGGATTGTGGGTGGGGGGAGTGAATGTACAGCGCTCTCTTCCACCTTCGATACCACGACTGAGGTGCCCTTGAGCAAGGCACCGAACCCCCAACTGCTCCCCGGGCGCCGCAGCATAAATGGCTGCCCACTGCTCCGGGTGTGTGTTCACGGCGTGTGTGTTCACTGCTGTGTGTGTGCACTTTGGATGGGATAAATGCAGAGCACTAATTCCTAGTATGGGTCACCATACTTGGCCACATGTCACTTCACTTTTTCACTTTAATGTGAGGTTGTCGCACACCTTGAAGAGTAACTCAGCAGCGTCCTGCAGTGCAGTGCATTTTTAATAGTGTCCTGTCAGTCACGGCTAAAGCTTGCACAGCCCCTTCAGGGAACAAAAACCAGGTTACATGGCCAACAGGGAGCACTGGTGACTTCATGCTTTGCCAACTGTTAAAATTGTTCCTGGCTCATTTATGTTTACTACTTTCTATCCTTTCTTTTTTCACGCTCCTCTTGGCACACAGGCTAACACCTTTTGAATGGTACAACCCTCACCCCTGCCTGAAGGGGCGCTGTAGCCTGCTCATTAACCAGTATTCGCTGGGCAACAGTTTCTGGTTTCCTGTGGGTGGTTTCATGCAGCAAGGCTCCACCATCGCCCCCAGAGCCCTGTCCACACGCTGCGTCAGTGGAGTATGGTAAGAGCGCGCGATAAACAATCTCCAGTCTCCATTCTGCATTGATGGTCGCCAGCATATTTGGTCTCCAGAATGCGATTTATGAGGATTGTACAGAATGTCAGGGAATTATATTGATATTTCCTCATTGTATGTAAGCCTCAGAAATGTACATATTTGTTGGTCATAGCTCTTGTCTTCATAAAGCAGGTCAAAAAGGCCATGTATTGAATGGTATTTTTACTAAGACTTTACATTCTTTGGATTACTAGAACATTTTGATTTGCTATTGTCAATTTCATATTTTGTGACTATATTTGTAAAAACAGTCAATATTATATAATGCAGTATTTTGTCCTAAATTATTTTTTCATTATGATCATATTCTGTCTTTATCAAAAAAGTGATTTCATAACTTGATATGTATGCTCTTTCATTTTCGGACGCACTTGCATAGATGTTCATTTTGACCCAGAAGACCATAATGAATAGGTTTTTGACTGATTTTGGTCTCATTTCTTTAAAAGGCAGTCGTGTCAAATCTGCCCAAAATCCATGGAAATTTTTTTGTTGTGAAATAAGATGGCCCTGTCTGAAAGATCATATCAAAATAATCTGCAAAAATTGGCAGGAAATTAAAATTTCACTCATAAACATGTTAGTTGGCAGATTCTTTTATCCAGTGACATTACATTGCAGTCAAGGTATAAACCAAGCTCTTCTGTTTTATCTACAAGAATGATTATTGAATATTGAATTTATTTATTTATTATTGTACTTGGGAAGTAAACAAATGATTGAAACATTTACACATTTGCGTATTCCCTCCTTTATGCATTCATTTTTCATTCATTTTTAGGTCTTTAATTTTAGGGTCAACTAGCTTATCCAGCAAGACCTCACTGAAAACCAGTTAGATTTTGAATGCTTAAACTGGTTTACCAGCTCGACCAGCACCCAAACCAGCATTAACCAACAAAGTCGAAGATGTTCTTTTCAGCAGAGTATCACATTCTGCTACACCCTGATCTCATTGTCAGCTGCTGGATATAGCAGATAAAAGTGCTACTCTCACTTGGCCTCTGTTTTTCTTCTGCGTTATTGTACTGTCATTTTTCGAGGCCTCGCCAACTGCAGCACACCGAGGTCAGTGGAGAATAAAAGCGAGCTATTTTTGAGTATTCTGAACGGGCGTACAGTATTCAGAGGAGCCTTTCAACTTCTCATTCGGATGCGGAGCTCACAGTAGTGCCGAGCTCTTTTGATGTTGGGGCAGAGCTTTGCGTTCCTCATGGCTAAAACTGGTTTGTCGTTCCAGGTGGGCCTTCACCTTGATCATCATCTCTTCCTACACAGCCAACTTGGCGGCCTTTCTCACTGTACAGAGAATGGAGGTGCCCATCGAGTCTGTGGACGATCTGGCTGACCAAACGGCCATCGAATACGGCACCATGCACGGCGGGTCCACCATGACCTTCTTCCAGGTGAGATCTCCAAGGACAAAACGGAAGGAAACTCCACCCACAAATCAATGGCCTGTCAGCAGGTTTATTGACCATGTCGCTAGTGCTCTTCCCTACTTTGGGATTTATCTGTTTGCTGTCTTAATATCAATGCCCTTCGATATCTTGCCCTCTCCAGAGGGCCGTCCCAGACTAATTCAAACTCTTTGATGCGTCGGAGGGACGCTTCTCGACCTGCCCCTCAGCGAGCACAGACTGTTCACATATTCAGTTGTCACATCAACATGTCAAACTGTCAGCTTATCAACCGCCAAGTCCTTGGTTAACACAATCAGTCTCACCTCCTCAAAGCTCTAGTGATTGGCTGTCAGGACACCAGACGAAAGTTGAGGAGCAAACGTAACGATTCTAATATCTCCTGTTTTCCGTTTAGAACTCCCGCTACCAGACGTACCAACGCATGTGGAACTTCATGTACTCCAAGCAGCCCAGTGTGTTCGTGAAGAGCACTGAGGAGGGCATCGCCCGAGTGCTCAACTCCAATTATGCCTACCTGCTGGAGAGCACCATGAACGAGTACTACCGCCAGCGCAACTGCAACCTCACCCAGATCGGAGGCCTGCTGGACACCAAGGGCTATGGCATTGGCATGCCTCTGGGTGAGAAAGAGTTCCTGTTATAGAGACAACAATGAATAGAGGTTTATGTGGAGTTAGCAGGACTTTTACTGATTCAAATGCAACTCATCCAGCGTGCAAAAGAAATGTAGCAAGGAATCTCACACAGATCATCTCTAGTCAGATTGTATGATGTGATCTCAGTGAGATCTTGGGTAGAAGCCAAGGCAGACTGTGCGACGTCAATGGCCATTTATGCTACTGAACGATACACAACTTTGGTCAAGATTGACAGCGTTGACTGGTAGATCAATCGTGTCACACTCTGACATACTCATTAACATGCAAAATGGTACCACACACCCAAGCAAACCCTTGCACTAATGTTTATGTTTTACCTGAAAGAAAAGAAAATGTCTAAAAGTCTGTGGAGGCAAAAAAAGCGAATTTACCCTTTTTTTTTTTTTTCAAAAGAAACTTGATGTAGTTTAATCATAGCATAAAGGAAATGCTAAATGGCTCTTATAACATTTAAATTAAAGGGTTAGTTCACCCAAAAAAAGAAAATTTTGTCATTAATTATTCACCCTCATGTTGTTCCAAACCCATGAGTCCTTCGTTCATCTTCAGAACACAAATTAAGATATTTTTTATGAAATCCGAGAGCTTTCTGACCCTGCATAGACAACAACGCAACTGAGGTAGTAAGGACATTGTTAAAATAGTCCATGTGACTTTCAACAATTTCCTCTCTTCCATGTCAGTCTTCGACGTGTGTTCACGTGAAAAAAAGTGACATTACATGCTTCATGGTACTGTCATGAATGTGCGTCGAAGACTGACAAGGAAGAGAAGAAATTGTTGAATGAAGTCATTATTTTAATTTTCTTTGTGCACAAAAAGTATCCTCGTAGCTTCATAAAATTATGTTTGAACCACTGATGTCACATGGACTATTTTAACAATGTCCTTACTACCTTTCTGGGTCATGAACGTGGTAGTTCCGTTGCTGTCTCTGCAGGGTCAGAAAGCTCTCAGGTTTCATCAGAAATATCTTAATTTGTGTTCCGAAGATGAAAGAAGGTTTTACGGGTTTGGAGCAACATGAGAGTGAGTAATGAATGACAGAATTTTCTATTTTGGTTGAACTATCCCTTTTATTTTATTTTATTATTTATATATACACTAGCATTCAAAACTTTGAGGTCAGTAAGATTTTTAAATGTTTTTAAAAGTTGTCTCTTATTTATGGCCTTCAAAGCTGCATTTATTTGATCAAAATACAGTAAAACTAATATTGTAAAATATTATTACACTTTTGTTTGATAAACAGAAAGTTCAAAAGAACAGCATTTATTTGTAATAGACATTTTTTTGTAACATTATAAATGTATTTACTGTCAATTTGTGATCAATTTAATGTATCTTTGCTGAACAAATGTACTGATATTTTTACAAAATACTGAACATTTGAACAGTAGTGTAAATATTTTTCATTTTTAATAACAATTATTTATTTACTTTTATTATTATTTGCCATATAGACCACTACTATATACAATGCTCTTGCACACACGTCATCACTTGCTGTGTTCTTATGGGCTGTTTATTAGACAGGCATTTCAGCAACAGTCACACTTCACAATTGCAACCTAAAATTTCATACACTGTCAGAACTTCGCCTGATGCGTTGACTAATTGGCCATCAGCGAGCATGTGACAGTAAGCTATCCGAGGCTGCCAGTCTTGTCCTATAATGATAGAAATCTTTTATATTCACCAAAAATCTGTCTCAGATGGCAAAGCCGTAGCCAAAATAGCACAGTGCACACCAGGCTTTAATCATATAACTGAAGTTAAATGAATCCATTGACTGAATATAAATTGCACTGAATTCATTTGAACCAAGCTATGTCCAGCAGATGTTTTAATCAACATGATTGATGGCAGGGTTTACAATAAGCTAAATGAACACCATTAGAGCGGCAGGAGTCAGCACAGCAGAAAGCATACATTCAGCTCTGGCTCTCTAAGATGGATATTTTGTTTCAGGCTCGGTCTACAGAGATGAGTTTGACCTGGCCATACTCAAACTACAGGAGGAAAACCGCTTAGAGATCCTGAAGAGGAAATGGTGGGATGGTGGCAAGTGTCCAAAAGAGGAGGATCATCGAGCGAAAGGTGAACCACTTGTCACTCAACTGCAGGTCCAAACAGAATCTTTTAGGAAACATTTATCATGTTGTGTGTTTTTGTGAAGGTCTGGGCATGGAGAACATCGGTGGGATCTTCGTGGTGCTTGTGTGTGGTCTTCTGGTGGCCATCTTCATGGCGGTGCTGGAGTTTGTGTGGATGCTGCGTCATACGCCAGCAACAGAGGTGAGAGAGGGCTATTTTACCTGCCTCTGCTTTCTGTCCTTCTCCCCGCCCTCGCGCCTCCCTCCCTGAACCCCCCACACCCCATCCCGCACCTCACCACCAGCACACCAAAGAATATACCTCAAACTGATCTACACAGGCCATCACACGCTAAAGGTGCCAGATGCTTTTAGATTTTATGCTTTTTAATGTTTGAATGGAATGAAGTTCCTTCTTTTTTGTCTTTTTTTTCCCTCCCTGAATCAAATCGATGGTTGTGTGACTGCATTGTTTCAAATGAAGCATTGTGATTTTTTTACTAAATAAACACTTCAGCATGTTTCAGTAGAACCCCAAGATGTGACTTTTTTTGGAGGGTGCAAATGCATGCTGTGTTTGTTTATAATGTCTTCATGACTTAGTTGTGATTGCCCATATTCATAGACTGAGCATTGTGGGTAAATATTCAAAGAAGAATGATGTTTGTGTTTGTCTGTATGTTATGTGGGTGTGTTTGAAGTGAGGCTAAACTAAATGCTAATTGAAAACTGCTTGGGAATATGGGTGTTTGTGTGATTGTGTTTGTACTGTATATCTCAACATCAAGTCAAAATGACTAGTGCAGTGCAGTTTAGCCCATTTTTGATAAGTAGAGTGAATATTTGCATTATCCCTAAGGGATATAAAGCTTTGCGTGTTAGCATTAGGTAATGCTAATAGTGTGTCTGTGTTTGTTTATGTGTGTGTGAGGTGCATTTCTGCATGTAAGTGTATATTCAGCGCCTTAAACCGCACTGGCATGGCTCATCATCCAATAGTAACAACTAGTGTACATATCTTACATATCTTACCGCCATACTACATTGGTCCAACACCAAGATGGCCCCTCCAATTAAATGTCTACTACACAGAATCACATTGTTTGTATGCAGTGCCTTTTCAACCTCACGACATGATGACAACAAATTTATTGGATCATATTTTTGTTTTTACCTTTGCATCATATGTATGAATGTATGTGATGTTTATCTTATATAGACCTTAGGCAAGGTAGCATCATATTTTATTTTTGACAAGAATGAAAACAAGGCTGTGAGGAACTGAAGTACAGTGTGTTCAATGGACTGTACTGTTGTTTAACAACATAACAACATCTTTCCGCTAACTCCATAAAAGAGTTTTAAAAGTTGTTAGTTGTGAAATGCATGTAAACTAGGACCTTTCTACAGTGCGTGCCTTTGTAAAGACTGCAAGTCTATTCCTCACAGCCTTGCTTTCCTTGAATATGGTGTCTAACTTGACTAAGGTCAAATGTTCAGAAAACAGCAGCAGCTGAGTTCTGGATTTTATCAGCAAATATGTTATGTTTAAAACTTTTAAAGCACATCACAACCACCTTTTTTTTTTTGTAGCTTATATTCTTTACTTGTCACACAAAACCTTAAGTGTAAGAGCTGATCAAAAATCCAGTTATTTCAATAAGAATCCATGCAATCTGAAATTTGGATGAGGGTGATAGATTTCTCCACTCAGATTTTGCAACAGGTTTAAGTTGGTCACACGGATTCACTGCATTGACCAATAGAAAGCTGCTTGATTTGAAAGACTCCACCCAACGCTTCTCTATTGACAATAGACAATAGTGCCTTTTTTGTGAACTCATCTTAACAGACTGTAACTGAACAGGGTATAAATTAAAAGGTAAATCCTTATTGATATTGTGCTGAGGACTGATGAAATTTTGGTTTGCTTTGAGTACATATGCATAGTATTTTTCATTCATTCATAGTAAATTTGATGTCACCACAGGAAATTAGCGTTGGGAAAACACTACTGAGTACAAAAGAAAAATACTACTGTAAAACAACCATTAAGAGAAATGAACGAAGATGATTTATTTAACAGCCCTTAATCGAAACTTTATTTTCGTAATACTGTGCGATAATATTCCATTTATGACAGAATTCCATTAAGATGACAAATTGCACCAGAGGACACAGGAAAACACACCGCCTCTGTTCGTAAAGTGATTAAAAATATATATGCGTACAAATAATCAGATTGTTTTGTGTAAACAATCATCAAAATTCATCGAAAATCCTCTTGGGAGCAATTTGAGCCCAATTTGTCAAAGCAAAAGGCATTGCATACAAATATACTGTATATATCTATATATATATATTTTTTTTTTGTAATGCAAATCTAACAGAATACATTTAAAGATGTGAACTTGTTGAGAATGTAATGAGCACACACCGAGATCACCAGGCGCTTCAGGACATTTTCTCTGATTTCTCTGTGGTGCATCAGTCAGATAAACAGCCACCGCCCCCTGTATAGCCCAGTGTTATTTTTGATCAATGCTTTGGCTGTGCTGCCTGCCACCCCCTGCGAGCAGTGTGTCAGCGAGACCCCCTGGCCTCTCTTTCTCTCTCTTTCTCTCCCTCTGTCTCCGTGTCTGTGCCTCACAGCTGTCCATGTGCGAGGAGATGCTACGAGAGCTGCAGGGCATCGTGCTGTGTCAGGACAGCCTGCAGTTACGGCGCAGGCGCGGAGCCAGCATGTTGCGACCGCAGCCTCTGCCCCTGGACGAGCGACGGGCGCGGGCAGCGGCGGCGAGCCTCAGCAACGGCAAGCTGTGCACGGGCACAGGCCTGCCCGAACCCCTCTCCCACAGACTGGCGCAGGAGGCCGCCCTGGTGGCGCGAGGGTGCAGTCACATTCGCATCTGCCCGGAGTGCCGGCGCTTCCAGGGCATTCGAGTGCGCCCGGCCGGCCCTCCAGGAGCATCGCCCACCCACAGTGAGGAGAGTATAGAGTGGGAGAACGGCACCAACAACAGTGAACACGAATAACCTCTCGGATCTGTGGCGGATAGACATTAAACGACAGCTTTGCTGGACCCAGGGATTATGGGAATGTAGGCTCCGGGGAAGGAGCTAAAAGAGAAGCTGTCCGTGCTGCTCGATTCGGCCCAGGAGCTGCATCTGGTTTCTGTACACTGTCCTTACGGCCCTCTGCTTTCGGGGGACACAGCAGAGGGGCTTTGTACTATGCAGTATATTTGTCTTACTGTGCTGTTGATTTATTTTTAAATTATTGCTCTTTTGTTGTGATACCACTATATTGCTATTATCTCCTTCTCACGACACCCGTTTAGTTTGTTTTTTCACACCGCGGATGGCTGCAGACTGTGTCAACCACGCGCAACCTTTTTTAGAGTGCCAAAATACTTTGTATTAATTCTGTGCTGTTGCCATCTCATTCCAGCCCCTGAAGGAGTAACTATTAAGAGAACTGAACACAAAAACAACTACGCTCTGTTTTTATTAATAGTCATATTCTATTAAAAAGTTTTTTGGGATGTTTCTGAATGTTTGATGTGCATGTACGAAGGTTTTAGATGCTACTGAATGGAGAAGAACATGGGAATTATATTTTTTCTGGTTAAAGACACTTGCTTTTCATTCTTTTAAGTTTTGATTCATTTTGTTGCACTTCTCGGATATGAAAATTGCACATAGTTGTGGGAAAGTGGAAGATTATGCTCCCATTTAGGAAATTTGTATTGGGAAACTAACTAGGATTTATGCCAATTTCCATTCACCTTTATTTTTGCCATTCCTGCAGGGCGCTTGGAGGTGTCAGATTTATTCACTTTCAAAAAAACATCAGGAAAGCGAGATCGGAGGTGATTTTGTTCATGTTGAGGTCTTACATTCATCTGTACCACTCAATACATGATGAAATCAACTACAGACAGGGTCACTCCATCTAGACGTATCTGTGTGATGAGACATTGGAGATCATAGGCCTATATACATTCAGGTATTTCTTTATATTACATAACATCTCATAATGTTTAATGTTTATTTTCTTGTTTGAAACCAGGAACGTTCATTTGTTCATGTGATGTCTTGGATTCATACTTCTGTTGAACACCCACCTTTTAAAACTGGATTCAACCAATCAGTTTTTCAACGTACCACAGCTGAAGCAGAATTTGGATACCAAAATGAAATTATTTTATTAGGCATGATGTTACCTTCAACTTGCAGTGCCAAATTGTAATAAATTGCCTTCACGTTTTGGAGAGCCATTAGAGGTTACTTACAACCCATGTTGATTTTTTTTCTGTGCATTTCTATTGAACTGAATCCATTTCTACATGATATTTCAATACGGTGTTAGTGCCTGACAAAAATAAATGGCATTGTGTTCAGTTCTGTGAAAGGTTGGCTTTGTTCTTGAAGGTTTTGTCTCTTGGATCTGTCGGCCCTCTCTGTAAACATTTCTTTTTCTAGGTGCGCAAATAGAGCTCCATTCATTTCCTATTGCAGGCTGGAATGGCTGTGCGAGTGTGTGTGTTTCAGGCTTCTGATGAACAATGGCAAAGCTGTATGTGCAGGTGGGTTTTCGCTGGATACACAGACCTGCAGACAACTCTTATCGGGGCAACTTCAAGATGTAACACATTTACTATGCGGGGCATGGCATCAGCTGCACATCTGCTTTAGATTCACAGAGGCACAAGCTGGTTTAAAGAGTCAACAAACAAGCAAAAACATTTGGGAGACAATTACTGCTTGGAGTGACAACTGACTGCTTACACAGGAAGGTTAAAACAAGTAGTTTAGAATTAGCATTTGCAATTTGGGTAAAAGCAACAAAATATTGCCAAAAATGTATATGCAGCAATTATTCACATCTGTCACAAGAACTGTAGCATCATGCAAAAGTTATAAGCTTCTAATGTCATGCTCAGTTTGCACTCAGACATGACTAGTTTATTCCATTATCCAAAGTGACCAATAATAGGAGGGTTAACAAGATAAAGAGAATAATATCTGGCTTGTCATGTGACCTCAAAATGGCTTACTAAGTACACTTTTGTGATTGCATTATTCATTTCTCTTTACTAAATACTTCATATAAATATTTGGTTCAATGAAAACTTACCACCCAGTCTCATGAAAAAAAAAAAACTATTTGATGAGGTTGCAATGTAATTTATACAAAACTGATTTTTAGAAAGAAGCAAGCATGAAGGTCCATCTCTAAATATGGGGTGTAAGTGTAACCCCTCTGTCCCGGGTCCTCACCGCCACACCTCGTTCTCGCTCCGAGTGGGTCTCCGGCATGGTAGGCGGATGCACTAACAAGGAGGCTAAAGACTGCAGCCTCTAGCGTCAGTCGCTAGTGCGTCTCTTGAGATCAGCGGAGTGAGGTTTACCTGCACAGCACCTACTCGCTGGCCTCTGTTACATAAGCATATTATATGAAAACATGTAAATGAAATTGAACTAATTCATATAAATTAGCCACCAATTCGCCAAAATGTAACATTGCCATGAGATTGTTTTGGAGCTTTTGTGTTTGCCTCAATCCTGAGTATTTTCAAACTGAAGAAATATCTTCAACATCTGCAAATGTCTAAATGATGGAAATCCATTTAAGTTCCAGGGTTCAAACACTTAAGTTGTCCAGCGCTATGATGGTTTGATAGTAATGAGTGTGAATTGTTCAGAGACTGAAATGGCAGGGCTGAAGACAGGACTTATTAGTGAGACACGCAAAGCTCTCAGCCCAATCAGTCCGGATGCATTCCCGAGGGCAGGGCCTCTATCTCTCTCAGCATACTGCCCTTCTCCAGCCCATTTATTTCTTAATTCAGCTCTAACCTGTTTCCACAGAATGAAATTGCATCTCTAGCTTTAATTCCTTCTAGTGTCGCAACTGGTTTCTGTCCAACAGAAGGAAATTTGGCTTTTTTGTTGATTTACACTTAATGACATCACTAAACTAGATGTCATGTATTGTTGCGCTCCGAAATGTGTCAGACTGCAATTCAGGCACGTGTTGCATTTCCAGCGTTGTATGGGGCAGGGGCACCATAAACCTTAATCAGGGTAAAGGGCCATAATACTCAACAGGAATTATATTGTTTAACATAGGCTACCAATTGTTCAGCTGATGAAATGTCTTTCCGAGAAAAAAAAAAAAAAAAGACCAAAGACAAAAACACCTTAAAACAGTTTTGAAAGTTAAGTGACATATAACCATTTATACATGCTATTGTAAAGACTTTAAGTCTATCACTCACAACCTTGTTTTCATCTGCACTAAATTCAATATGGCATCTAACCTAACTAAAATTGCCTTCTTTTGTGCTAGATGAACGTTGCTTGTGTCTTGTTTGCGTCTTGTGTTTTTAAAAACAACAATGCTTTCTGTGTGAATGGCCACAAAGTTCAGCCTACTTATAGCACCTGAATAACAACACATCCAATTTTATGTCAGAGGTATTTGAATGTTACGTTTTATGTTACGAGTTGACTTGCCACATCTTAGTGATTTTCACAGTTTCACAAATTATTTATTATCAAAGGCAGTATAGTAAAACAGCCCGTTCTTCTAAAATGATACAATTTTCAATCTTTAAAATGACACAATGCTGCTACAAATCTTTTTCAGATCACTGGTTTGTCACCTACAGCAGCATTTATCTTAGACTCTTTTTAATGTTCTGAAACATAGTATCAAAGGTAGCTCAAAATGTTATTTCCCATTTTCGTTTTCACAATGGAAGTGCTGTTAACATCCCTGTGAGTGCAGGTAGAGATAATGTCATGTTCATTTTGCCGCCTTTTGTTCTCCAGCAGTGCTTAAATGAGTAGAACAACCATCAGTCACATTACAGATTTAAGTGAAATAAAAGTCTTTGTTTGCTTTCTTCTGCTTTCCATTTATTGATCGATCTCAGATTGGGAGACAGTGATCATCTGCCTGCCAGATAGACGTAGGCCCTACTGCTGCACATAGAAAATGTCACTGTAGTGCCATGAGCTTTCCATGAATGTGAAATTTTTGTGACATAACAAGGTCAGTTATTTATCATTTAACTGCTTTAACACAATAATCTGTGTAATCAAGATTTTTGTATTGAGATGATGTTTGTAGAGCTTTTTCCAGACAGTCTCTCTCAGGGAATCTCACATCCGTAAATCAACAGCTGGCGTCTGTCAGGGGCATTAGAGCATTACTCTTGGACTCATACTAAGAAGAACACAACAGGTAAACGGGGGGGGGGGACATTAAAGGGTTATTACATTATTTTAGTAAAATCATTTTAAAATTTGATCAACTTAAACGTGAAAACGCTGTGCAAATTGGAATAGCGACAGAAAACTAGACCAACAGAGACACCTGCTGGAGACGAAATGAACTGCACTGTCTGTTGTAAACGGTTTGGATCACAGGACTTCTGTTAGCAGAGTACCCAACATTGTTATTCTATCATTTTAACATAATTATACAAAGTTCATACACCAAACATAAAGAATATCAAAAAATTTTATGTCGGTAATAAATTCTGCCTTCATTTATTACCGACCTCACAAAATGGGTTTTAATGTCCACATGTTTACATCTCTTGTCTATACACAGGATTTGTTGCTAAGGCTATGGCAACCCTATTGTCTTCATAGACCTTAGACTCATACTTCAGACCATCAATGTTTTGTAGCAATTGCTCTAGGTACAAGCACTCCTGTACAGTCACAGACAACGCCATATATTCAGCCTCACAAGTGGACAGTGCAACAGTAGGCTGCCTTTTGGTCTTCCATGAGACCAATGGACCATTTTTGTTTAGGCTAATGCAGTAACCTGTAGTACTCCGCCTATCCGTTACATCGGCTGCCCAGTTTGAATCATAAAACACTTGTAGGACAATTCTGTATGGATGAGTTGTTTAAATGGAAATTCAGTCTGCTTGTTTCATAAATAAGGCCAAAACACAAGTTGGCCTATAAACACAATGATTAAACTGCTTCATCAAATTATGCTAATATCAGGTATGGTAATTCAAAATGCAAACAATATTCACTTTAGCGTAAATTAACTGTAAAATGAATGTCCTGAGTCTTCATTTTCGAACTGAATTCATAACCTTCTACCCAAACCCCATGTGAAACTAATTTTAAAAGTCACTAATTTCAATTAAAGTCAGCTTGACCTTTTTATGGTGAAGTGATAATTAAGACAATGCCTTTTGTTGTTGTTGTGTTGTTTTCAGATCAACTTTCAGATCAACATTTAGACCTCAGTTGAAGTTGATATCGGCACAAGCTAGCACTGTTCCCAAACCTGTATACCTGAATATATGAATATCTTCAATTAGTGAGAAAGATTTTCTAATGTTTTTGAAAGAGGTCTCTTATTCTAACCAAGGCTGCGTTTTTTTTAGTCAAAATACAGTAAAACAGTGATGTTGTAAAATATAGTGACAAGTTAAATCTATTAAATATATTTT